TTTCCCGATTATTCACTGATTTCTAAATTCAATTAATTAAAACTGGAATAATTTTGCTAAATAAATATTTAAATATTTCTTACTTCTTTTTTCACAGAAAATAAAATTTAAAAAATTTCAATTTTAATAAAGAAATTCGTAAAATTAACATTTTGAAAATATTTCTAAATCATTTTTGAAAGACAATAGTTTTTTAATTACATACAATTGAAAAATGTCCAAAAATGGAAATTTGATAAAATCTTTTCAGAATAATTTAGTTATTTAAAAAAATATTTTAAAAATAATCAAACTTTTGAAGAATTTTAATTATAAATAATAGGTATCTCAAAAATTCTATTATTATTAAACAATTCTAAGAATTAGTTTTTTATGAAATATTGAATATCGAAAAAAAATAATAATTAAAAAAATAAAAAAATAAAATAATAATAATAATAATTTTTTTTATTTTTATTTTTTTATAAATTATATTAAAAATATTAAAAAATAATTAAATTTTGAAAAATTAGAACGAAATAATTCAGACAATTACTTTCTTCAAAACTTTTTAATATTATTTTTAGTACCTAATTTTAATTAATTTTTAATTTTATTAAAATTTTTGAGAATTCAATTATTTCTAAAATTTTCTATTAAAATTTTTTAAAAGTTAATTCTTAAAAATTGTAATAAAATACTTGAAAAAATGATGTATTTTCAATTAAATTTTACAAAATTTCAATTATTCAAAATCTTTTTAAATGTATATTTAAATAATTTAATTAGAAAAATTATTTAAAAATAAATTTTCAAAGATTTGTTTTTGGTTATGTTTTCACACTATAAAAATCGAAATAAGTTACATTTTTTGCTAATAATATGGTATTTTGTCGTAAAATTTGAAAGAAAAGTCGAAAAAGTCGCAATTTTTAAAAAAAAGCCTAATAAAGTCGCATCATCCGAGGCCTGATATCTGTGAAATTATAAAAATTATATAAAATAATTTGTTAGTGTGGATTTATAATTAAATTTTAAAATAGTTTACAAATTTCTTATTTCTCAATAGGCATTTCAAAAGCTGTATTAGAAACAATTCGAAAGAAAAAATCTGTTTCATTAACAGGAAATATGATAAACGTCGATATGCGAGGCAAGCATGATAGTAAACCCAAAAGAATAACAGAAGATACAAAGAAGTCAGTTCGTGATCACATTGAATCATTTGAAAGAGTCGAATCACACTTTTGCAGATCTGAATCAAGTAGAGAATACTTAGATGAAACTTTGAATATTAATAAAATGTATTCTCTTTATAAGGAATTTATGGACAAAAATAATGAAACCAATATCGCTTCGGAATATCGATATCGTTTCATCTTTAATAATGAGTATAATATATTTTTTCACCAACCTAAAAAGGATCAATGTGATCAATGTGCATCGTTTGGATTTTTGACACAAGAAGAGAAACAGCTTCCACAATTTAAGGTCCCCCAAGATGAGCACATAGAAAATAAAATAAAAGCTAGATTATTAATGGCTGAGGATAAAAAACTAGTAGAAAATGACCCAACAGTTTTGTGTGCATCTTTTGACTTGCAGAAAGTTTTGAGCACTCCAAAGTCAGAAATATCAGTTATGTTTTATAAAAGAAAGCTTGTTGTATATAATTTCACGATTTTCGATTTGGCCTCAAGAGAAGGGAAATGTCACGTCTGGAACGAGACTACTGGAAAAAGAGGAGCTAATGAAATAAGTAGCTGCTTATGGATGTTTATAAAAGAGAAATGTAATAAAGGAATCAAAGATTTCAGATTTTTTAGCGATAATTGTACCGGTCAAAATCGCAATCAGTATTTATATTCTATGTACCAGAAAGCAGCTAAAGAATTTGGAGTGACTATAACGCATAGGTACATTAGAAATTACATTTCCTAAATTTTTTTCTTATTAATTGTTTGTTTTTTAAAAAATATTTTTAAAAAAATAAAATTCCAGAAATATCTTTTTAAAAAGGAAAGTATAATAATAATTCAATTAAACTAAATAAACAGTTATTTAAACACAAGTGTCAATACTAACATTTCTTTCTTTTAAATCGTCAAACTAAATTCTCAATTTAAGTCTATTTTTCCAAATTATAAAATAAATTTACTAAATATGGAAAATATATTTATTTTTTATTAAAATTCTTACCATTTCAAAAATAATTTTTATCATATTAGTATTTAATTTCTAATTTTCCAATAATACTTTATTAGATATTTGGTAAAAGGACACACCCAAACTAGTGGAGACTCAATGCACTCTGCAATTGAAAACGTTGCTAGAAATCTTTCAGTTTACACACAAGATGAATGGTGTGATATTATGGAAAAAGCGAAAGTAGAAGATCCAAAATATTCGGTGTATCAAGTTTCGAGAGACGAATTCTTAGATTTTTCTGAATTATCAGATAAACATTTTTGGAAGAAAATTAGAATTTCTCAGCTGAGCGAAATTCGAGTGTTTCCAAACAAAAAGATTGCCGTAAAATATAATTACAATGATGATTCAACAGAATTATTAACTTCCTTTGATGAAAAGAAGCAGTTACAAATTTGTTATACCTCGAAATTGCCGTTAGAAAATGCGAAAAAAAATGATTTAAACTCACTACTTAATAGTGGTCTCATACCTGAAAAATACTATCAATTTTACAATAATATCATAAATTAAATATTGAAATCGATAAAATATTGCTGTCACTTTTGTGTCACTGTGATACTAATTCTATAAAATGTGTTGATGTTACAAAATTATTTATTATATGCAAAAATTTATAAAAAACTAATAAAAAGTTATTTCTTAGCATTATTTAATAATTATTGTTTTACTCATAAAAATGTATATGTATGATATTCTAGTATTTTTTAAAAATAAAAATAATAATAATTATAAAACTCATATAGAAAAATAAAAATGTATGTAGTTATATATATAATATTTAATTAATATTAAGTTTATTTTTTATTTTATTATATTTATTATATAATCATTTATTTATTATTATTCCCTTATATATTTTCATTAAATTACAAATTAACCTTTTACAAAAAATCATTTTTGTAAAAGTTTCTAACCTTTTTCAAATTTTTCCGTACTAACAACATAAATTTTAAAAAAAAAAACGTCCATTCTGAGTTGGCATGTTTTCCAAATCTCAGTTCAAATGGCAGGTTTTTCAAATATTTTTTGAATCGGCACGTTTTTCACGACTAATCTGAATTGGCACCTTTCTGCACCCAACCGACGATTTGTGCTAGTGAAGATCTTGAAATGGCAAGATTTGATATAAAAACAGCTTTCCTTAATGGTGAGCTCAAAGAAGAAATATTTATGGAACAACCAAAAGGGTTTGAGAGTGTAGAAAAACTGAATCATGTTTGTAAGTTAGTAAAAAGTTTGAATAGTCTCAAGCAATCTCCACGCTGTTGGAACGAAAAATTTGTGAGTTTTTTAAGTCAATTTAACCTTTGGAACATTGAAAGCGATAAATGTATATTTGTTGCATGAATGAATGATGATCTAATTTACCTTGTATTGTATTTTGATGATGGATTAATAGTGTTAAAATCATTGGGGTCCATAAATGAAATGTTAAGAGTTTTATAAGAGGGATTTAAAATTTTAATATAGAAAGCTGATCAATTTGTAGGTTTTGAAATCCAACGTGATCGAGTAAACAAATGCATTAAAATAAAACAATCATCCCACATAGCACAATAGTATGAGGTAAGGTTATGTTTAGTACTAATCGTAAGGCACATAAGGTTACACAATATTGCTGCGGTAGACCTGAGGTGAACTAAAAACTTCCGCCATGGAGGTAAGGTTACATGTTAGAGTGTGGTAAGTATATATGATAAGGCTATGGTAACCTTACACGTTAAGGTTGAGATAACCTTACACGTTAAGGTTGAGGTAACCTTACACGTTAAGGTTGAGGTAACGTTACACGTAAAGGTTGAGGTAAGGTAATTATTAAGTTGTAAGGTTGAGGTAAGGTTAAGGTAAGGTTGTGATAAATTTACCAGTTATGGAAAATATTGAAAAAATAATTAATAAATAAATATTCAATTAAAAAGTTAGTTTGTTGCTCTTCTCTATTTTGGAAACCTGACATGAAGCAGAAAATTTTGAAAACAAATTTGGGGGGACTGGGAATCGAACCCGGGATCGACGCGCATAAACCTATCATTCTAACTAACTGAGCTAAGTAGAGAACTGGCAGAAGGAAAATTAATGTTGCCTTTAAGGTGAACCAAGAAGATGATTAACTCCTTAAAGGCAATATTAATTTTCCTTCTACCAGTTCTCTACTTAGCCCAGTTAGTTAGAATGATAGGTTTATGCGCGTCGATCCCGGGTTCAAATCCCAGTCCCCCCAAATTTGTTTTCAAAATTTTCTGCTTCATGTCAGGTTTCCAAAATAGAGAAGAGCAACAAACTAACTTTTTAATTGAATATTTATTTATTAATTATTTTTTCAATATTTTCCATAACTGGTAAATTTATCACAACCCTACCTTAACCTTACCTCAACCTTACAACTTAATAATTACCTTACCTCAACCTTGACATGTAACCTTACCTCAACCTTAACATGTAACGTTACCTCAACCTTAACGTGTAAGGTTACATCAACCTTAACGTGTAAGGTTACCTTAACCTTAACGTGTAAGGTTACCATGGCCTTATCATATATACTCGCCACACCCTAAAATGTAACCTTACCTCCATGGCGGAAGTTTTAAGTTCACCTCAGGTCTACCGCAGCAATATTGTGTAACCTTATGTGCCTTACGATTAGTACTCAACATAACCTTACCTCATACTATTGTGCTATGTGGGATACTATATCAAAAGGATGTTATGTAAATTCGAAATGGAAAACGCGAATGTAGTAAATGTACCAGCTATACCCGGATTTGATTTGAGTGTTGTGAATGCAACTGAGATAATCAAAGAAAATATCAATGTTTCTTTTACGTCAAGCTATTGGCTCACTTTTATTTGCGGCAAGAGTAACTCGTCCTGATATAGAATGCATTGTTAATAGTCTGAGTCAATTTTTAAATGATTTTTCGATGGCACACTGGAATGCGGTTAAAAGAATTTTAAAATACTTACGCGGCACATTACATTTTGGCTTAGAGTACAAAGCAAGTGGGAGTAAAAACACGCTGGTAGGTTTTACTGATGCAGATTATGCAGGTTGTTCTGATACTCGTCGTTCGAGAAGAGGATTTGTATTCTTACTAAATAATGCACCAATAAGTTGGTGTAGTCAACGTCAAAGTGTTGTTTCACTTTCTACTACAGAAGCTGAATATATTGCACTTGCACAGGGAACTAAAGATGCTGTATGGTTGCGACGAATGTTAAGTGAACTTTAAAAGTGAACTAAATATTGATTGTAAAAGTGTTTTAATATTTGTGCATAATCAATCGGCAATAAAATTAGCGAATAATCCAGAGTTTCACAGCAGAACAAAAGATATAGATGTACGCTACCATTTTGTTCGCGAAATTGTTGATAAACGCGAAATTATTATCGAGTATGTTCAATCATCAGAGCAAATAGCAGATATTTTAACAAAGACTTTGCCAAAAGAACAATTTATTTACCTTCGAAACAAAATGAATGTAACGGGTATAAATCTAAATTAGTGGGAGCGTTGAATTTTGTATTTAGATTTTTAAATAATCTGTTTTACTAAACTAAGATAAACACCTTCTACTCTTATACCCTAACTGGAAAATATGTACCTGAAGGGTACAATTAGTTTTATGACAAATCTTTCCATAGGTAGTACAAACTGAGCTCTCCGAAGAGTAACTTGTATTCCGAGAGATCTTAGCCGTTTTTCGTATCACGTTATTATATGTATTTTGATTTCTTTACTGTTTCCGAACCTTTGTCACATCTACTATTACGTGAACTTTTACAATAAACTTTTTGTTAAATAAAAGTTAATCGTGTGGGCCCAAGGAGCACGTAAGCTTATCTTGACATCACTGTAATATTACATTGGAGATTCGTTATATTACACTGTAATATTACAGTGATCTTACTGGGATATCAAAATGTCCGCCTGGAGGTAATATTACGTTGTTATATCAAGAGAATATTACCTGGTAATATTAAGGTAATATTAACGTAATGTTAAGGTAATATTCAGATAAAATTAGAATAATTTTATAATTTAGAAAAAAACATTTCACAAAGCTGGACTTGAACCCTGAACCTTGCGCACAGTAATCAAGAGTCTTACCACTGAGCCAAACTTACTTGTAGTGTATTAAGATTTTTGATAAAATATGAAGAACTTTAAAAAACTTACAAAGATTATATACCGTCGAGAATCTTAATACACTACAAGTAAGTTTGGCTCAGTGGTAAGACTCATGATTACTATGGACATGGTTCTGGGTTCGAGTCCAACTTTGTGAAATGTTTTTTTCTAAATTATAAAATTATTCTAATTTTATCTGAATATTACCTTAACATTACGTTAATATTACAGTGTAATATTACCTTAATATTACCAGGTAATATCTCTTGATGTAACAACGTAATATTACCTCCAGGCGGACATTTTGATATCCCAGTAAGATCACTGTAATATTACAGTGTAATATAACGAATCTCCAATGTAATATTACAGTGATGTCAAGATAAACTTACGTGCTCCTTGGGGGAAGTTCTTTTAAACCTAAATAATCCAACAGTTTCAATTATTAATCACAATTGATATATTATCCAAAAATAAACATTAATTTTAACAATGTCTTTCATATTTAATAATGATTAATTATTATATTGTAATGTGCAATATAATTTTTTGTATATAATTTTTGTCATCTACTTATTGTACAAATAACAAAGCTTAATCTCGTTGCACTCAAAATTGTTTTATTTTCAGAGCAATAAATAGATGTTCGAAATTATGTCCATTCTTGCTCTACGTTTCGAGAAGATGTTTATTCGTTGAATGACATAAGATATGACGGAATCGAACGTTCGGGTATGTAGATACGGACGAGATTCCACGGTGGTGGTATGGTTTTCTTGCGGCACCGTGATTTGGGGGGTTGTGTCGACAGGATCGTCTTCCTCGATAAAACATTTTGTGTAATTCGACAGTTGTGGCTCGTACTCTTTGTATAACTGTTCCAATTTGTGATCTGATGGTGTCTTGATAGCGTCGATGGTTACAGCGGATTCGGGTTCGCGGATAGGAGAGACACACATTTCTTTAGCGCAATTTCGAGTAAACATGGACGCCAGGATAGCTTTAATTGTTGCTTCGTCGACAAGTTGAGGCAAATCGAGAAAAGCGTGTATATTTGGAACTTCAATTGTCGATGAGACGAGATGTTTTTCCACTGTAACCGAAGCGTCACTTTGAAAAGCCTACCAAATTCCCCAACGTCGTGGTATATGTCAAGTAATTGCAGGCCCGGGAGGAATTTTTGAGTCGAGTAGAGCATGCCGCCGAGTAGGGTGCAAAGGTCATGAAGCAGGTTCTACATGGGATGCCCGACACGACACGACGTGCCCCTTCTACTCCATCTACCAAATGCTTTCCCCTACTCACGGAGGAGAAGTTGGTATTGGAGAGGGGGCCCGTTTTACGTGTCGGGTATCCCATGTAGAACCTGCTTCAAGCTTCCACTTCCTCCCGGGCTGACACCGTTGTTGTTTGCTTCATTTCTGTGAAAAAGAAATATTATTCTTAAAACTAAACAATAAACTGAAATTCTTTTATAAGTTAATTATTATTAATAATTGTTGATATATTTTTTTAAAAGAATTTTCAAATTTATTTTTTTTTCAATTCACCTGAAATTAATTTTTAAATCTATGTTTATTAGAAAACTAGCAAATAATAGAGAATGTCTTGATCATTTTTCTTTTATTTGTAAAAGAATTTCTTTGCATCAAGTGGTTATCACACATATGGGAATACTCATATCCAAAATTTCTATCAAAACATTAATTACTATAGGAAAACAAAAGACGACACTTTCTGTTCACGGAATAGCAAATTATTATTATGTATATTTGAATGAAATTGATTTTTATCAAAGAAAAACTTACTTTCGATAGAAGAAGATTGCTTCGTTGAATGGTGGATCCTTCTGGATGAGTTCCTCATCGATGAGACCAATGTTGAGGATATTAAGTCCAACATTGATTTCATGTTCTCACGTGAGTCGACAAACATCGCAACGAGTAAAACGATTGGGAAACTTTGATTTAAAGTCGGTTCTACAATGGGCACGTCAGACGTCCACGTCTGACGTGCCCATTGTAGAACCGACTTAAAGTGCAACTTACAGCAAGTGCTGCACGAAAGCGTCGTATACGGCTCCTTCATTGTGACGATCTTCAAGAGTCTCTTGCCAAGTTGATTCGATATATTGAAAAAGGATTTTTGCAATCGTGCAATGTTTTTTCTTCGTATCGCAACTTGTATCGAACGATGCGCTCGTAATCTTTTGGATTTGTCTACGAAAAATTTTCCATCGTCGAAAAATCTCGTACGTACTGCTTGAAATAACTTTGAAGATCGAGATCAAGTTGTATCATTTTTTCTTTACGACAATATTCGTCCATTTGCTAACGAAAACTTTTTCTTTTTACGTAAATGTGCTGATCTTTTCGTTTGTTTTCTGACGATGGCTGTGGATTCCCGGTACGTCGAACATCGCCAAATGTTGCTTTCTTCCTCGGATCAAATAAGAATAAGCAGCCTTGACATCGTGCTCAGTATTTCTAGTTGCAACAAAATAAAAAAATTTACAAGAAATTCTTGCATGGTCGAAAATTCTTTAACGACAGTTTTAATTTTTCCATTTAAATTCTCGAAACGGTTATTGGTAGTATTTAAGAAAGACATTTGAAGAAAATTCCCACATGACCATTCTTGCCTAATGCTATGTCAATTTTTATCGAAATAATTTTGAACAGAAATTGGCGTTTATGCTTTTAATCTTTCGTAATATGACATATACTCATCTTCATTATCAGAATTTATCATTTTGCGGATGATAAATTTTGCGGTGTCTCTTTGTTCGCTCGTAATTCCCAATTTTTCGGTTGTTAACTTTTGATTAAAACTCTTGCGTGTGAAAAACGCAAATTAATAACTTTGAATTTGGCAAGGAAGTTTTGATAACTTCGAGCTCTGTAATATCCTTATCAGCCATTATTGTGATAATTTTGCCCCAAGACGGATGTTTATTTTTAAACTGCTCAATAAACCATTTCACGGATTGTAGGACAAAAGTTTCAAACCAGAAGTTCCAATCCAAAAGTTCCAATATGAAAAAGTTCCAATATACAACATGTCCAATTAATGTCGGAAAAACAAAATGTATGTGAGTCATTCCATTATATTTCGACTAAAGTCGTTGCCGACTAATTTTAAAAAATTGTAATATTTTGCAGGAATGATTTTAAAGATATTAGGATCACCGAACAAAAAGAATTTTTTAAATATTTTTTATATTTATTGTAAAATAAGCATCTAAAGTATATGAAGTCGTAAAAACTGACACTTTTTCATCTAATAGAAAATATTAAAGAAAACACATAATTTACTATAAAAACGTAAAAAAATTATTAGAATTTATTAAGAATGAATTATTTTATTATTATAAATTGATAGAAACAATTATTAATAAGAAATATTAAATAAAAAATAATTTTAAAGTTTACATGGAAAATAACCTATTTTTGCAAATTTCATTCACTAAATATGAGAAAGAGAAATCATTAAATTGGATAAAACCTTATGAAATATAAAGTACCTGTGATTAACTTTTAGTTTTTCTTATCACTTTCTTCCTGTTTTCTTCACAAATATTAAAAAATAAGCAATTAAAACTGGCACTTTGCTTATTTTCACGATTTTAAAATGCAAATAACTTCTGCCCAGAAAAATGAAAAATTACGAAAATTGGGCAATAATTATTTGATCACTAGATACACTTACTGGAAAAAGATTTTCTTTGGTCCCGAAGCTATTTCTCGAATTAATTAACTTTAAACTTTTTACTATTTTTATCAGGTTAATACATGTGATTTCTTTAAAACTGAAGTTGGTTCAAAACGATTAAACAAGAAGAGCTAACTTCGTCCTTTAAAAAACACATGTATTAACCTGATAAAAATAGTAAAAAGTTTAAAGTTAATTAATTCGAGAAATAGCTTCGGGACCAAAGAAAATCTTTTTCCAGTAAGTGTATCTAGTGATCAAATAATTATTGCCCAATTTTCGTAATTTTTCATTTTTCTGGGCAGAAGTTATTTGCATTTTAAAATCGTGAAAATAAGCAAAGTGCCAGTTTTAATTGCTTATTTTTTAATATTTGTGAAGAAAACAGG